ACATACATCATACATATCAGTGTGTTTCATAATCAGATCAAAGATGGCCGGATAACGGCTGTTTATATTTTTGGCCATATTACTACTACAAGGAACACGTGTTTTGATGTAAATAAACAATCTGTTGTATACGCCACTTGGAACTCAAGTTTCAAGGACACGCTCGCGACAACCCCTCCGCTTTAATATGACAAGCACAAAGAGAACTTTTAAAAAATTAACGGGGACTGTTTATTGTGCCCTGTAGTCAAATATCTCGGATAAAGGCATTTGCAGAAACTAAGAAAAAAAAAACATTTTGGTACTCAACATCGAGGAGTTAGGTGGCGGTATATGCCATTTTCTTTTATTCAGAAAACAAATTTCTTTTAGAAATCTTCTAAAAATATTAGTATTGTGCTAATTGGTTTTACCTATGGTAATAAAAGTTACTTGACTATTAAGGCCTTTTCGGCCAGCACAGACCTCAAAATTCGAGTTCTAAAGGAGTCTCGCAGTTTTTATAGTCAGTTGATTAAGTTTGATGACAAACCTAGTACCTAGTCTTGGTACAATCCTTTCCCGCCATCTTGTGTCAACATGTGAGGCTGTGACATAGCAACAAACTGTATTGAAACCTTCACAATAAATACAGCTATACTTCATGTCAAGGATGAATTCAGCCAAATACATAACCTCTCACCACTTTGTGATGCGAGTATAGACTGAGCTTTACCGTTACTACTAATTTATCATCTGCATATTGTAAGTGGGTCCTGATTAATTCCAAAGTGCGGAGGAACAGACTCTCAGTGAATACGGAACATTTCCAGCAAAGCGAACATATTGTTTAGTTGACACAACAAAAATGAGCAAACTTGGTACAAGTGTACCAATGCAGGAGACATTACTATAAGATAACTGCCGGTTGAAAGGAATCATCAAAATTAAATACTAGCATTGAGTTTGATTCCATCTTTGAGATACTACTTGGACAAATACCTGTATTACTTCAGACACCCTTCATAAAGAATCCCCCATTCACAAAATTTTGGAGAGATGCATATTATGTATGACATTTCCCAACTGGCAGACTGGACAACTTGTGCTTAGACATGCTGCTCAGTTGAAACTAGAGATTGGAATAATGGATTGTTCACATTGCAGTGAGTTATCAAAGCAGTATTGGTCGTGAAATGCTTAAAGTTGTGAATTGACACTTTAGCCAAGAATTCATCAAATTTTGAATCCCAGCAATCGACCGGGCAATGACAGAATGCAATGAACCATTAGCTAGATTTAGGGGGGACCCTCCAATTACCAGGGTCTTAGAAGATATCGTGACTTAGTGAGGGATCACTGTACATACACTATCCACTATCTACAAACAAATTTGTGTCCGAGCACAATCTGTCTGGCCGTTATTGAGTTATAAATTTTCATATTGACATTCAAATACCACAATGCACAACTTCAAATGGACCATCAACACTCCAGAAAAAAATTACATCTCTACATATAGCAGTTTCCAAGATACTCGCTGCACAACATACAGTAGAATTATAAAAATAACCCTGTCAAATACAAAAACAAAGGATTTTCCAAGGTTATACCTGGCTAAATATCGTCTCAATACATTCTGAGGGTGTGCATAATAATTAAGAACCTTTAAGAGACTAGTATATAATAATAACTTTATTACGCAACTTAACCATCTGTGGATTTAGTAAGGGTAAAAATGATTACAAAAGACAAATAAAATAAGACACACTGAAACACTAAAATTAAAATACACTGAAATTCAACAAAAGACAAAGCATAACAATTAATCAGAAAATCTCTGAAAAATTTATTATACAGCATATATATATATATATATATATATATATATATATATATATATATATATATATTATACCCTATATATAAAATATGTTTTTAAAATGCAGTCCATCACCCTTGGATATTATCACCAATATTTCATCCCTGAAGTGATTCACATCTCAAATTTTGGTTCTCCAGGCATCTTTAATAAATAACTGCTGGACTAAAATAATGATATCATAGAATCATAAAAGATTAGACAAAAATCTGTCATTTTTTTAGCCTCAAGGGCGATAAGAGTCTATTTTCAGGTTGTTTGGATCAGACGTTTTTATTTTCAGATTTCTATGGCTCTCTTGACTGACTTTTAGCTTTCTATTTTTACTTATTTGATGTTTTTTTGGTCTCATTTTGCATATGGCAATCAGATTGTCAAGTAAGTAAACAAGCCAGGACATAGTCAACATGGGACTTGAGAGTATGCCCAGAAGATAGTCACCACCATACAGCATTAATGAGCGAAATTCACATTACAATTGCACTGATATGTATGATACGATGATATACTGCAAAGTGGAAAGTACATACCTATTAAACCATTGTATGAAAGTCATATAGGGAAATTCACAATTCTAAAAATGCAAAACAAATGACAACACTCTACAAAACAATCCAAAAAAATAAACTACACAATATAGTCAAATCAGTGAGAGACAAATATATGGTTGACATGACAATACAAAATAAATTTCAGTGAATACAATTTTTGCAAAAAAACAATCTGCAGCTGGCAATATTGCAAAATCAGTCAGTTGAGAACTTTGAATCTTATTTAGGCCAGACTTTTGTTATTCCTTGTTTCTTGAGTTTTTATAAGGCAATTTTTTTGAGGAATAAAATAAAATAAAATAAAATTAATTCTTTTTTTCCATTAGATTTGTGTGATTCTCAAAAAATTGTAAGTGAGATCATTGATCAGAGAGAAGAAATAAAATGTTATTCCATGTATAACCTTGTTTCTCATCTGCGCGAGACTTTGCTACTTTGATCATCATACTCCCACAAAAATGCAAAATGAAGATAAAAATAATATTTTTTTAGCAATTTTTTGCGCTTACAAGGCAGCGGGCACGAGAAAATGGGCTGAAATAAAATTTTATTTTTATTTCATTTACGGTCCCGGTTCATTTGGCGGGTTCGCGAAACAAGGGATAATAAAAGTCTGGCCTTATTAGGATTTCTGCATGAAGTTACAGAGATAGGAAAAATGCATAGTTATGGCAAGGGAAAGTAATAATTGTGTTTTTGTTCAGGTTATGTAATAAATTCTCTTACTAATATTTGATGGGTATCATCAAAACTTCAAATGCAAACATACACTGTAACACACATGTAAAGTTAGGAAGATTTTCCAGAGTGATTTGGATTTGTTAAAAATGAGACAAAATGCTGTGACACTGTATCTAATTGGTGGTTGGAATTAGTTGCGAAACTAGTCAAGTATAAAAGGTCTATGGAGTTATCAACAAATATGCCCATCGCTAAATGTTTTTTCAATAAAATAAAATATGGGAGTGTATATCATATTGGTTATTTATTCTAGTTGACAAAGACACACACACTGTTCCAAGATTCAGATGTTTTTGTATTTGTATTGGTGTCAACCACTACTAAAATAATATGCAACTCGGTTGCCTTACGGCAATTTATTCAAAATAGTGGTGAAAACTAAAACAAGATATAGAAAAGTATGTCAAACTATGTCAAGCTGGCTAAACGAGCATGATCGGTCCACGAAAAATGTATGAAAATGACATTGTAGATACCTAACAAAACTACGATACCAGATTGCCTGAATAGATCATGAGTTGGTAAATGTAAAAATATCTTACTTCGCGGAGTCTAGTATCTTTTAGAAGAATTTCGATCACAATATTCAGTAGGTGAAATGCGCTTCGCGTACGCAAATAAGACTCTTTAATAATGATGACCTCCGTTCTACGTCAGTGAACGTAACGCAGCATGGTGTGCTGACAGAGGGCGATATATAGTAAGATTAAAAGGTGTTCAGCACGCATGCTGAATAATAGAAACGCACTGTACATATTAAGTAACCTTTTTAAGAGGAATTTCGAAGTAAACAAAAAATAATAATTTATGACTTGTAGAAATATTTACAACATAGATTCACCATTAAGTGTGGGTCCATAGCTCTTCTTTAGTCAGTCTTTGTGATGGTATTTTAGTATTTCTTATACATTTGGTGTCATTAAATTTGCTATTTCCAGACATTAGAATTTTTATCGACTCAGAAGAGCTGTGGTTTCGCCCAAAGACTTTCCATAGCATGGCGTTGTTAATTTTTAAATTTCAGCATTCTCAAGATACATCCTGGAGGGTAAAGATGTATAATAATAAGGTTACTACAAGGATACTGCAAAATATACACAAAGACAGTACATCGACAGAGTATCGACCAACATGAAGCACAGCATACTGCCTACATGAGTATTCATCATTATAATTGTTTCTCTATAACATTATAGTCCTTGTAAATCAAAGCTGTAATTATTGCCAGATTGAATATGAATATGAAGTTGCCAGACAACTGCTAGTCTTGTGGGTACACATTTATTTTTCACTTTTTGCTGCCCAGAATAGTTCTCTCCATCAAAACATTGATTTAAATTGATGTTCATTTAAGTTTGAAAAATGCCATACAGGACACTTCTGTTTGTCAATCAGTCTTTCACATTAGTCAAAGAATTTACTCTGACGTAGAGAATAACAGAGTTTCTCCAAAATCGATTAATAACGTATTTTGAGTTTTTAACATATTTACTGATTTTTGTTTGCCCTTGGCCAGGTTCCATCTTTGTTCCGTTCCTCAATAATTAATTGTTGCCCATGATATAGATTGGCTTGTTTAATTGTGTCATCTTTTTTTGATAATAGTTCATATGCATTATTCATGTATTTGTTCCAAACTCGAGTTTCTTTATCTTTTCCAATGTTGAATATTCTCCGCATTTTATCTTGGACCATTCCTACTGTATCTGCTTTACTGAAATCTTTTACCACATGTCCTTTCATCATATGCATACTTAGGTGAAGTTCCATGCGGTATACTTCAATTCTACAGTGTTTGACAAACATTCCATCCTCAATAACATCTCTTGCGACAGTATGTTGATCTTCCACTATACCATACCATGCTACAAGCTTTCTCCAAGCTTGTGTGGGGATGCATATATAATCCAATTCATCTATCAGATGCTCTTTCAATAAACCAGATTCCTTGATCAGACCAGAATTATCAATGGGTCCAGGATAGGATTCTTGTTCACCCATTCCACGCATGACCCAACTATCATAACCAACATACTTCTTCCATTTATTGAACCATCTACTGTCAACTAAATACCAGGTATCTCCTTTTTTTAAAGGTGTCTTCAA